TCCTTAACATTCCCTGGTCATATAGAATATTGTAAATAGAAGGCATATTATTCAGTAGTGGCCATTTTTGAAAGGCTGAATACCCGGAAGTAATTCCTGAAGGGAACTGGGGCTTTACATAAGCCTCCCATTCAGTTCATTGTTGCAGTTTGCTTACGGCCCTAAGTCTGATTAAGCCAGTGATGCTTACACAATCTCTGAGGACCGTTTTTCTAAATCCCTTTGAGGTCATATCACTCTAAAAGCCCAGCCATCTTGGGAGAATATTATAAACAATTTAGTTTTATTTTAGCTTTGGAAGAGGGTGAGGCTGCGCTGAGTAGCCTGACCTAACCACCATCTGCTTAGAAGTGATATTATTTTCCAGTGTATTTCCACTCCATGAATAGGCTGACCTTGGAAGATCATCCAGTGATTCTCTTTTCTACCCCTAGTCAATTGGGATTTGTTGAATTTGGCTGCAGAATCAGACAGCCGGAGTTTATAGATAGACCATGTTTCAATTATTATTATCATTTCACTTTTATTCAATTATTATTAGACTTTTAATTACCAGTCCGAGATGAAGAAGAGGAGATGCATATTCTTATGGTTTGGGGGAGGAGTTTGGAATCCATTCCTTTATGTCCTTTATGAATTCCTTAATGTGAAAGTCTGACATGGTGATTCTTAATTGGCTTTGGGTCAGATTGTCTTTTTATGGAATTTGAAAATGTGATTTCTTCAGTGTGGGTACTTTGTCCAGTGAAGGAGATGGCAGACCATATGTGCCTGCCCATCTTCACCATTCTTGTCTGTGTCCTCCTGTAAATCCCCCCAGTACATCTAACCAGTGTGCTTCTCTTCTTGACATTGCATGGAAATGACAGAGGTGAGCTCGTAGGAATAGGATCCCTTGCCTAGCACGCATTCTTCCTGCTCATGCAGCCCTGCTTTTTCCTGGTCATACACTTTTTCTGATGACATTTTTGTCGTTGCTCAGTTGTTTCAGTCATGTCCAACTCTTTATGACCATATTTGGGGTTTTCCTGGCAAAGATACTGGAGTGATTTGCCATTTCCCTCTGCAGCTAATTTTACAGATGAAGAAATTGAGGCAAATAGGATTAAGTGATTTGCCTAGGTTCACACAGCTAGTAAGTGTCTGAGATTTGAACTTCCTGACTTCAGGCCTGGTGCTTTATCCACTGCACCCCTAGCTGCCCCATGGCAACTTTTACTCCACTCTATTCTGGAATAAGTATTCTCTTGTAACAAGCTACAACATCTTCGTATGCACCATGTGCTTCTTCTCCATTGCCCTTTTGGTGAGCACTCAACAAAAATTTATTAAATCTCTGCAGTGTGTGTGAGGCGTATCTTATCATCAATAGAGAGTCAGCCTAGAAGCCAGAAAGATCTTTCCTGCCTCTGACAAATACTGGCTGCCGTAGTCCTGGGTGAATCACTTAAACTGAGTGCTTGAGGCCATTCTATAAGAAGACTATACATTTTAGGGAGTAGGGGAAGTTTTTTCCTGTGGCATTTCCTTGTGTCCAAGAAATCACAAATCTATTTCCTGTCCCTACTATGTGCTAGGCACTGAGGATAGGAAAACAAAAATGAAGTAATCCCTATCCTCACAGAGCTTATATTCTATTGGAAGAGATCACATACACATATAAAAATATGTCAGTGTTAACATATGGTCATTTTTTGAGGGGGAAGGGAAGGGAGCATTACCAGCTGGCCAGGATTAGCAGCCCAAATTTCAGTCCTTCTGAGGCTATAGAATTAGATGACTCATAGAGACAAAAAAGTACTGAAAAAATATTCCTGTTAAAAAGATGCTTACAGGCAGAAGCTTTGGGGTCATTGAGAGAGCTCTGTGCAATTTCCCAAAGGCAATCTGGCCCCCACTTCTCTTCTTTGGCACTCCGAGGCCCAGCTCCAGATTATGATATACAATTGGATGGACAGCCCAGAGTGACCATCCATCTATACCTATTTCTCAGTCCCTGCAAATTTTTGTTAAATAATATGATAATGACAATTATAGCTAACATTTATATAGTGCCTACTATGTACTGGGTACTGTGTTAAGCACTTTATAAACATTATCTCATTAGATCGTTAAAAAAAACCCTAGGAGATATGTGCTATTATTATCCCCATTTTACAGATGAAAAAATGGAGGCATTTAACTGAGGTTAAATGATTTGTCCGTGGTCAGTCACCTAGTAAGTGTCTGAGGCCAGATTTGAACTCAGGTTTTCCTGACTCACGACCTGGCACTCTATCCACTGAACCACTTAATAACATTTGAGAAGTCATATTGTGTGACTAGATATCTGGCCTCAGAGCCAGGAAGACTTGGGTGATGGGTTAGAGCATTGGGTTTGATGTCATGAAGACCTCAGTCCAGATCCTGCCTCAGACACATACTAACTGTGTGACCCTGAGCAAGTCACTTAACTTCTGAGGCCTTCTTTCAACTCTGAATCCATAATCCTGTGACCTTTCGTTAGGTCCTGCCTTTGACACATACTGGCTCTGTGACTCTGAGCAAATTGCCTAACTGGTCACTGCCCCAGGCAGCTCTCTGAGGTGCAGAGAAGGTGCCAGTCTCTCTTGGCCCACTCCCCACAATAGGGAATTCTCTTGTGAACTCCTTCTACCAGTGAATTCCCAGAGCCAGTCTCTGTCCTAGACTGTTTCCTAAGACTCAGTGTGGAGCAGCAATGTCAGACTCGGGTAGAAACTGAGCTACTAATCTGTGCGAAAGGATCACTGCAGGCTGTATGTTGAGTTAATTTTAAAACGTGACATTCACTACCTTTTATTCTGTTTTTCTTTATTTTGTTAAATATTTCCCAATTACTTTTTGATCTGGTTGGGGGCACCCTGGGAAGTGTTGTTTGAGGGCATCCTGCAGGCAACAAAGCTGTTTGATATTTCTGGCGTAGAGCATAAGAAGTTACTTATTTCAGGTTCCCAAGAACCTGTGATATTTTCAGAAACTCTCATAGAATTTGCTCTGACTTGTGGTTTGGAATTTAGAACTCTCCTGTTCTCTCTACTTCCTGTCTTTCTAAAAGCACACAGCAGAACTCTTAGGGATTAAAGATCTTCAAGAAGAGATAAAAATGCTTTTTTAACATAGAAAAACAGGGACTTTGAATCAACTAAAGATTCTACTATTATCATTTTCTCTCCTCCTTGCTCCATGGCTATGCCATGGAGGCCTAGAATTGGAGGCAGGAGACTTGAGTCAAGAACATTCATATTTATCATTACTCATATTTTTGACAGGCAGTGCAATATAGTGGGTAGAGCTGAATTGGGAGTCAGGAAGTCCAGGGTTCCGGTTCTGCCTTTGACGCACACTGGCTGCTTAACCCTGAGCAAGTCACTTAACTTGATAGCACTTCAGGGAACTCTGTAAGACTGTAAGTTGTGGAGCAGGCACTTCTCTGAATAGGTAGAGAGAATTTCCTAGCTAGGAGTTCCTTACACCAATCTGTTCTAATCCAAAACCAATCATTTTCGTAGGACTCTAAGGTCAGCCAGTCTACATACTGGCTGTGGGATCATGAGCAAGTTACTTCACCACCTGGAAACTCAATTTCTTCATCTGTAAAATTGAAATTAATAATACTTTTTCCTATTTATCCCCACAGAGTTGTTGTGAGGAAAGGGCTCCATAAGCCTTAGAGTTATATAAATGTGAACTGCTATGATCATCCCAGCCCCTTGAACAGACCTGAAGTCTGTCCCCTTATGCCAATTATTCACTGCTCTGGAAATTGCTTTTTTCTTTAAATGAACTACCACGACTCCAAATCAGAGTTTCAGATTTACTGCTGTCTTCACTTCTGGGTGTGGTTGGGGGCAGGGTTTGGGAAAGAGAGAAAAGAGTGTCTTAATATAGTATGTCAAGGGGAATATCTCTTAATGCAAAGCAAAATCTTTTTCATCTTCCCCTTACCACCTCAAGGCATTGCCCCTTATAGCAGTATGGCCTGTAACACACTTGGAAGTTCTCACCATGTCTTCCTTGTCTCCAGTTACTCTCATTTTCATGTTCCCTTGAAATCGTTTCTGGGATCCCAGTAGAACAGAATTCCTGCATATTGCTCTACCATATGGTCAAGAACCCCTTTCTAAAAGCTTTGTCTTTATAGTTAGTAGCTGCTTGTAGCCTACTTAAGAGGCAGACAGAGAAGGATATTAGGCCAAAGTTGATTAACCAGTACCTTGACCTTAAACATGATTCCGAGGGTCTTCCCTGGTCATGGGGCCATTCAATGCAAAGGGGGCAGGAGAGAATTATAAGGCAACTTTCACTGAAGAACACTATATTTAACCATTTGTGCCACTACTGCCTCTTGAAAAGCAGCAGCACTGTGGTCCCTAAGTCATGATTTATAAGCCAGGCCCTCCAAACTGAGCTGGTTAGAGCCATACTCTTGTTGAGTAGGAAAATGCTGACTCAGGTCCATTGAATATGAACCCCTACCTGAGTCTCCCATCATTCTAGGCATGGAGCCAGCTAGCCTAGTGATAGATGATACCTAATACAGCTGCCACCAGGCTGTTTTATCACAGCAGAGAAATTTTATTTATCATATGCTGGACTTTTAGAGAAACCACATCCTGTTTTTAAGTTTTCGTTTTTATGTACCCGGTACGAAAAATGTATGTATCACTGTTTAAGGTCTTAATTATTTGTTTCTTTCAGAAACCTGAGACAAGAAGTTAGGTTCATAAAAAAGAGTGGTATGAGAGGATGCTCCCATCTATTTAGCGTGGAGAGGGAATTTTATAGGAAGTGGTGTCTTCGTGTCTATTTCTGAACTTAAAAGATACCTCCAGTGAAGAGGTTCTGATGAATGAAGTCTTTTGGATTCACACTTTAAACTATTTTATCATTGCGTCTGTTTGCTTTCTTAAAACATGAAAATTCATTTCATAAATTCAGCCCTGATGTACTCATTGTATACCTTTTTCCTCTTTGTATAGGAAGGCAGAGACGCCAATGCTCCCATCCTTAACAGAGGAGGCAACGGATTAGCTCCTGGGGGAGACAGATTCAAACCTGTGGTACCTTGGCCCCATGTGGAAGGGGTAGAAGTGGACTTGGAGTCTATTAGGAGAAAAAACAAAGCCAAAAATGATCAAGAGCATCAAGCTGGAGGTGTCAACCAGCAAAACGCCCTCCAGAGACAATATCTCACTTTTAAGCCTCAGACACTTACCTACCATGATCCTGTGCTCCGCCCAGGAATCATTGGTAATTTTGAACCCAAAGAACCTGAACCTCATGGTGTTCTTCATGGCCCTGGAGAGGAAGCAAAGCCATATGTTTGGGACCAGAGTACAAAGAGTCCATTCATGCCAGCATTAAAGAGTTTGGATTTAACATGGTGGCAAGTGATTTGATCTCGCTAGACCGCAGCATCAATGACTTGCGACAGGAAGAGTAAGCAGATGCCCTCTTACTATTCTGTTTAGGAGTAGTTTGGTTTGGGGTTTACAAAGGCATAGTTTTTTTTTTTAAAGGGAAGATATTTATTTCTTTCAAAGGGACTACTTGGGCCTCTGGTAGTTCAAAGTGGTGGCCCTCTGGAGACGGATCGGTGAGTAGAGATGTGCTTTACAATCTTTTAGATTCCTAATTGAGGGTACAGGTAAGATTTCCAGGGTCATGTATATACTTCCTAACTAATTAGAGACATATTTATTTGCATTACCTTTCCAGTACTATTTTCCCTGACCTTTTCAATGGTGTTTTCTTTATCTTCTTTCTCTCAGAAATCTCTCCTCCAGCATCTGGTATCTTGTGCTTTAAAAAAAAAAAACACCCATAAAACTGATGTAGTCATTTCCATTCATGATCTGTGGTCTTTCTGGTTTCATTTTGTAGATGTTTACAGTTTTGCCATCTGTTTATCTGTATTCTTCCTCTCTTTCTCCAGCTTTATTTATTGGACTCCACTAGAACTCCATTAGTTTAAGACAAACTGAATAAAGCCATATTCTTGCCTCTTTTGTGGCTTAGTGAAAAGTGACGTACTTCAAGTCCAAAGACCTTGCTTGGTTCAGAAAGCCCCCTACCGCTTCATCCACCTGTTGGGCAAGTTATTTCACCTTTTTAAGCCTCACTATCCCGATCTGTAAAAGGAGCATAATTCTGTTTGCATTACCTACATCCTGTCTGTTGTGGAGAATCAGAGGCATTGATGCTTGTAAAAGGATTTCACGACAGCAGAGCACTGTATAAGCTCTATGAGCGCTCTTTGCCCTCCTCTCTTGGTCCTGCTAGAATTCACAAGGGATAGTGTTGGCTTTGTCCCTTAAGTAGAATTTACAGTATCACAGAATTTCAAAATATAGAATGTATAGTACTTATTATTTGATATGAGGTCACATCCTGCCTCTGACCTTTACTAGCTGTATAATGGTGTTGCCCGTTTAACCTTTCTAAGTATCTAACTCTCGTCATTTTACAGATGGGAGTGGGATTAGATGGCATCTGAGGGCCTTTCGATTCTAAATCTATGGTCCAGTGATCTTCCATAATTGTCCTCCTTTTAAAAATCAGAAAAGTAAAATTGTCATTTCTTTTAACATTTGATGTTATCATACCATTTGTTCTCCCTGTTATCACTTAAGAGGAAATCAGGGCCACTGTTCCCTAATAATTAAGGGAAATGTTCAGACTTACATGCCTTCTATTAAATCATCAAGATGTATGAGAACTTGTTACATGAGTACCTTCACATTCTTCCTTAATTACATTTTGTGACTCCCAGCAGCCTTTGTTGGAGTCTGAATTCTTACCAGAATTTGCGTTCTTTGGGATAAACTCTTGGGGAAAGGGCAGACCCTTTCCCCTCCTTAACACTGAGATTATTTAGAAAGAACAATTTAAAAACCGTCGTAGTGGTTCCTCTACCTTGTTCATAAGTCACAATGAGGAAGATCATAAGAGCATGCTTTTAAAAATAAACGTACAGAAATAAAACAGCCAGCTCTTTCAGACTGTGAATCGGCGGGATAATGTGCAGATCAGCCAGCCTCCCTGACTCTGTGCAGTCTGCACATTCAGCTTGGCGAATGTCCGTCGTCTTCCTCTCAAACGCTCATCAAGGACAGGAGAGTAGGGTTCCACGGCGTGCGCAGGCGTGCAGACCGTCAGTAGCCCACAGGACTGGCCGCCCCTGTCTTCATTCTTGCTTAGCTGGAGGAGGTGAGCCTTCTTCGCCTTATTATCTCGCCACTGTCACACTGGAAGACGACCAACCACAGATTTCAATGCCAAGTTTTGGGCTGCTCTCGCAGCTGTGGCATCTGACGCCGTGGCTAGCTTGTTTGTTACTGTGACTGCTTTTGTCTTTTCAGACGAGTGTTCTCCATGCTCGAAACCCGGTGCAGAGCTGTCCAGCTGCTCGCTTGACTCATGCATTGTGGTTGTGAGTTACGCTCCCTGAGTAATTTACTAGCTATTGAAAGGATTGAATGACCGTTTTTTGGAGGGAGCTATGGCCAGGTCTTTTTTTTTTTTAGTGGGCTGAGCCAGAAATGACTTCACCTAGCTTACTATATTTTCTACGAAAATTCTTGTGTTTTCTTCTCATACAGTTAGAAGCTTAGGGCTCTTCCCTCTCCTATCATCTTACTGTGAGCGGATGCTTTGGAAACACAGATTTTCTTTGCACGTTTTTCCTTCCAAAAAGTCACAAAATCAAAGGATTATAATCTAAAGCCTTTGTTTTGAATTTTTTAAAAGATGAAATAGTTATGACTTCCTCATTGAATTAAATATTAAACTTTTTCCACTACCTCAGTTGCATTTACAAAACAAGACAGTAGGCTGTAGAACATCATTGGTTCATAGCTTTGGAGCTGGAAGGGACCTTTGAGGATTGGAGAGAAGTTTGAAAAAGCCAAGTATTATATAAATCATAGATTTAAAGCAAGAAAGCACTTTAGAAGCTTTCTTATCCAAACCCGTCATTTTAGAGATGAAGAAACAGCCATGGGTCGGTTAAGGGACTTGTCCAAGGTCAACTAGCTAATAATTATTGGAGGCAAGACTTGAACTTGAAGTTCAGTGTCCTATGCACTAAAAGCCATGCTTCTAAGAATAAAAATAATGATGATAATGATAAGCACTTTAAAGTTTGCAAAGCACATTACAAATTTTGCATTTTATCCTCACAACAACCCAGAATGGTAAGGTACTAACCCAGTTTTACAGATGATGAAACTGAGGCAGGCAGGTCAAATGATTTGTCCAAGGTCACATAGCTAATAAGTGTCTGAGGTAAAATCTGAACCCAAATCTTCCTGACTTAAAAAGTCCAGCACTCTATCCATTATGTCATCTCTATGCCTTTTATTTACTGATAATTTCGTTCTGGTTGTCAGTGGGATGTTTCTGTTTTCAAGAAATGCCGGTGTTCCAACAGAAATGATTTTTAGCTCTGCTTGATTCCATAATAAATAGTAATCCTATTTATTTTAGTTTATTGACTTAAACTGCATTGTTAAGGCTTCCTCTCCCACCCATTCCTGTTTTAACAAAAAAAAATCCTTCATCTATACCAAGATATTTAAAATCCAGTTTTATCCAGTTGGTAAAATTGTTGTGATCCTCTTTCCAATTAAAATGGCTTTAAAGTCAAGTCCTAACTACTGTTCATGATCAAGATTACAGATTTCAGTCTGAACAGCCTGTCATTTGGGGGGGATTCTGTGAAGGGAACTAAATGAAGTTATTTGAAAATAACTTCTAGGGGCAGCAAGGTGGTGCAGTGGATAGAGTCCCCATTCTGAAGTCAGGAAGGACCTGAGTTCGAATCTAGCTTCAGACCAAACACTTGACACTTACTAGCTGTGTGACTCTGGGCAAGTCACTTAACCCCAATTGCCTAAAAAAAAAAAAGAAAGAAAGATACATTTGGATGTATCTTGAGTAAGATAACATCTGTAAAGCACTTAGCACAGTGCCTGGTACCTAGCAGGTGCTTAATAAATGGTTGTCCCCCTCCCTACAAGATTGTTCCATATTTCAGTGTTTTGATTGTCAGACTATATATTGACCCCATATCCCATATTTGAATCTGATTAGACAGCTACTGTTGGCATGTCATCCCTCCTTCCTCAGCACACTTACAATATACCCCAGGCCTTCTGCACTAAAGTTGGCCACCCCTGGTTCCAATCCCCAAGAAGCACTTAAGAAAAAAAAATTATTTCACATGACTTGTGGTAGACATGCTGTTGGTGTTCTTTCCCCAAAATACCACTCTCTAGCTGACCTCAGCCTGAAATTTATTGCTACAAACACAACTTTTGGTATGTACAGGGAATTTCCAGCCTAATTTAAAAAGAAGTAAATTCTCATACCCAGTATTTCCCCTTCTTTCCTGCTCACCCATAGTGAAAACAGCACTGGGTTTGGAGGCAGAGTTCAAAGACTCCTCCCTGCCACTTGAAAGCTGTGTGATCTAGGCAAGTCACTTAGCCCGTCCTAACCTCAGCTACCTCATCTGTAAAATGAAGGAGCTGTACTAGATGTCCTTTGAGGTTCCTTTTGGCTCCAAATTTGGGTTCCCCTTTTCAACAAGCTCCCTCTACTCCATTTATCCTGGAGGCAACAGCCACACTTACCAAAAGAAGAGAGTTAACTAGGTATTGCACCTCCATTTTGTGCACTTACATGTATATACACGTGTGTATATACCTCCTACTGCTACCCTTGGTATTGAGTCATATCAGGGTGTCTGACTCTCTGTGACCCCATTTGGGTTTTTCTTGGCAAAGATATAGGAGTCTTTGCCATTTCCTTCTCTCGCTCTCAGATGAGGAAACTGAGGCAGACAGGGTGAAGTGACTTGCCCAGGGTCACACAGCTAGTAAAGTATCTAAGGCTGCATTTGAATGAACTCAGGACTGCCTGACTCCAAGCCCAACACTCTATCTACTGTGCCACCTAGCTGTAACTTAATTTTGTATAATTAATATTGTGTAATTAAGTATAATTGTGTGATATGTGTGTGTCTGTGTGAATCACACTACTGCATTTAATTTTTTCCACTCTAATAGCAGTAGCAGTAGTAGTAGTAGTAGTAGTAGTAGTAGTAGTAGTAGTAGTAGTAGTAGTAGTAGTAGTAGTAGTAGTAGTAGTAGAAGTAGTAGTAGTAGTAGAAGTAGTAGTAGTAGTAGTGGCTTTAAGTCCCTGGCTGATTATTAGGAGCTTTATTTAGCTAAGCTGGACATGACCTCTGGCCTCTCCCAAGGTATCCTCATTCAAACTCCATAGTTCTTTCTTTGGATGTGGATAGCATTTTCCATCATGAGACTTTTGGAGATGTCTTAGATCCTTGCATTGCTGCAAAGGACTAAGTCTATCAAAGTTAGTCGTTGCACAACGTGGTCCATGAGCTTTTTTTAAAAAATATTTTGATAGCTGTA